ACACACACACACACACACACACACACACACCACTTTCCTTCCCCAGGATCTAGTTACAGTCTCTTCTTCCACGTGAAAACAGGACAGGCTGACCCTAAATGCTGCCCCATTTTCCAGCTGAGGGCTTGCTCCCAGGGTCTCTTCCCGGGGGCAGGGTGTTCTTGGGGGCTCCCTGCTCCCCCTTCCTTTTACGCTCTCCCCACCCCCCATTAGCTCCTCATGCCTGGGCCCCTTCCCCTTCACCTCCCCCTCTCCTGGCGGGGATTATCAGTGGGGTGGGGGGCTGGGCTCCGGGGCCTGCTGCTCTGACCTAGATTTCAAGGCGGAGACGGTTCCTGGTGCTGACAGTCCAGAGAGCGTTGTTCCGGCCGAGCCTGGCAGGGCCACCGCTGGGCCCTTCTGTCTGGGTGTGCAAGTGAGCGTGCCCGGGAGTGCCTGCTCCTTGAGGGGGTCCCGCTGCCCTGCGGCCTGGCTCATTGTGTGTGTCACGGTGCCTGCCACGGAGGGAGGCGTGTTTGTTCTGGCCCAAGTAGGGGGCTGGGAACGGGGACTTCTGGGTCCACGCCTCTCCCAACGCCCTGCCTCTCTGCCTCAGTTTCTCTGCATCTAGGCCAGACGCCCCCTGCGCTCTGCTGCATCCCCAGCCCCCTGCTGGGGAGGTGTGGGGGCAGTCTCAGTCAAGTACAAGGTCATCTGGCTCCTCGCCCCGGCCCTTGGTCTAGCCACAGTGTTGATGATATAACTCACTTTGTAAAATGTTTTACTTTTCTGATTATAAAAGAAATATTGCCTTGTTGTGGGTGAAGTTCACGTTTTATCCCATCCGGAAGGTTCATTCTAAGGTTGACCTTCCTTCTTCCTGTCTTAAACATACTATCTACCTAGTGAGTGCCGGGAGGGCCTTGCGTGTTCTCTCCCTTCCCACCTGGAGATCTCCACGCGACAGGGATGGGCTCGAGGCCGATGAGACCCGGGCCTGCCCAGCCCCTGTGGGAGGCCCTCCTGACCGTGACACAGGCAGGAGCCGCAGCCCCCTTTCCTGCCTCTCTCCCAGCCCTGCCGCTAAACCCCTTCCCCTGCCACCCAGCCAGCCTGGGAACTGGGCAGGGGGCCAGAGCCGGCCGCTCGGTATTCTTGGATGCGGGGGCTGTGGGCACAGCACAAAGGCTGGGAGCGGGGCTGCGGGGAGGCCCGGCTGCGGTCAAGGGAGAAACCGGGCTGCACGAGGGTTGGCGGGGGGAGCTCGTTGCCTCCCCCTCCCCGCCCACCCGAGCCCCGAGGACTGAATGCAGGGGGCCATGGAGGGGCCAGGGGACCATTAGACCAAGCACCTAGGCAGCTGTCCAGAATGAGTCATTAGTGAGGTGGTGGGGGGCTGAGAGTGAGGGTCCGCTTTGCTTCTGGGGAAGAAAGGAAGCTAGAACACATGAGCTCCAGCCATCCAACCCCCTCCTGCCCCTTCTGAGCTTCTCACCGCCACAGCCAGCCAGTCTCTCCCTGACGGTTGTTTTGGAGTGTTTTCTCTTTCTTTCCTTTTTCTTTTTTTTTTGACAGGGGGAGGGGTTGCGGGTGGGTGGGGCGGTTCTGGGGGGGCCTTGGCGGCAGCGGGTGAGAAAGTCTGGAGCAGGTTGCTATGGAAACCGCCTCCTCAGTCAGGGGAGCTGTTGCCAGGGTTACTGTTGGGGGGTAATGAAAAAAGATGGGGGTCAGGAGGTGTGACTTGTCACTCTAGGCTGTAGCCTGGACCCTAGCTTCTCTGTTTCTTCCTGTGCACTGCCACCACCCTGAGGCCTTTTCCCCCTCCAGCCCAGCCCTCCCCAGCCTCCCTGTTGGCCTACACCCACCTCCCCCCCCCGGCCCCCCACAGAGCGGGGATGCTGGTGGGAGGGACCAGCGAGTAAACCTTACTGGCACCTCCAGCCGCACGGCCTCTCCCTTTGTTCCTCCCAGCCCCAGTCATGGCCGAGTACGGGACCCTCCTGCAGGACCTGACCAACAACATCACCCTCGAAGACCTGGAGCAGCTCAAGTCGGCTTGCAAGGAGGACATTCCCAGCGAGAAGAGCGAGGAGATCACTACAGGCAGTGCCTGGTTCAGCTTCCTGGAGAGCCACAACAAGCTGGACAAAGGTGGGTGGGGCGGGGGGTCCCCAGCCTCTCGGGCTCGGTCCCTTTGGCGAAGAGAAGCACGCCGCTCTCGGACAGGCTGGGAGAGGCGGAGAGCGGAGCTCCGCTCGGGGACAGCGGTCCTCCCGGCCCTCGCGGGGCGCGTCGGTAAGCCGCGTGGCACTCGGATACTACTGTGTTATGATGAGTCACGTGGTACAGATCATCAGGTCACAGAACAGTAAAATACAAGTCAAAAGTGGTAAAAGTTAAAACCGCGAGCTCTAACATTTTCTGAGGCACTTGCAGAGGCCGCTGCTCTGGGAAGGGCTGGGGGCGGGGAGCTGGCGTACGAAGGAGAGTGGTTTCAAAGGCAGGGTCCAGAGGAGGGCCCGCCTGGCAAAGGACCCGAGTCCCACAGGCAGGAGTGTCTGGTGCGTCTGGAAGAGCAGGGGGTCCTGCTTAGCTTGGCTGGGGCCTGAGTGAGCTCCGAAGTGGCTGGAAATGTGGGTTAAGGCTACGCCGTGGAGGGCCTCGAGTAGGCGGGTGAGCCAGCTGAGGCCTCGGGGGGCCAGCAGGCAGGGAGGCTGGGGTGGACCCGGCCCTGGGAGGAGGCACCTGCAGCAGTCGGAGGGGAGTGGGGTGGGGGTGGGTGGGAGGGACTGAGGGCGTCCCCAGTCTCCTAGAAGCGGCCCAGCCACGGACAATGTCCTTCTGGCCACACGGGGGCCTTGTCTAGAGACTCCCCCAGGTCCCACATGCGCGAGCAGGAAATTTTTCTGACTCTGACTTGGAGGAAGAGCGGGAGGGGGCCCCGGGCAGGCAACGGGGTGGGCGTAGGGTATCAGGTAGACCGACTCATTTTTCTGTTCTCCCTCCCCACAACGTGGGACCTATTTAGCCTGAATCCCTTTGAAACCTCACTGGCCAACCCCCTGCTCTCCTGCACAGTCCTCTGTATCGTTGGGGCCTTGGCTTTCTGGTCCTGTTCAGTAGCTCGTCCTCTTCTCGCGCTGCCCCCTCCAATAACCAATGTGAGCACGTCCGCCATGGTTCCAGAAGCCCGGTCCGGTCGGGCAGGGGAGGCTGGCCTCTTCAGCCTGGCTGACCCTGTCTCCCGCCTCCCTCCAGACAACCTTTCCTACATCGAGCACATCTTTGAGATCTCCCGCCGCCCCGACCTGCTCACCATGGTGGTGGACTACAGAACCCGTGTTCTGAAGATCTCGGAGGAGGAGGAGCTGGACACCAAGCTGACCCGTATCCCCAGTGCCAAGAAGTACAAAGGTAGGAGCCGCGCCTTTAACATGCACCTCTGCCCGCTCCCCTGGCTGGTCCTTGGGGCGCTCGATTTGGGGCAGATGGGAGCAGACGTCGGGGGCTTGCCTGCTGTCTCCCAGGCCTTCTGTCCCTGGACACATCCCTTCTTGCCCCCCCAGATATTATCCGGCAGCCCTCCGAGGAAGAGATCATCAAACTGGCTCCGCCACCGAAGAAAGCCTGAGCGAGGGGGAGGAGAGGAGGAAGGTTGGACCTTCAGCGGACCACTCCCTTCCCCCAGCCTCCAGGGGAGGGGCAAGGGCCACCCCCCAGTCTACCCACTTACTAACCTGGTCCTAACCCCCTTACTGTGCGCGTGTGTGTGCGTGTGCGCACGCTCTGTCTGTCTCTATGTCTAGCTCATCTAGTTCCTCCTCCTCGTGAGGGGGTGGGGGTCGGGCTGGGGGGGGGGCTTCGTTTCCCCACTTTAGGGGGACATGGGGGCTATTTCTATGCAAATAGAAATGGGCACATTCCTCCTACTGCCCTTTCCTCTATGGCTGAAGTGTGGGAGCAGAAAGGACCTGTATTTTCCTACACCGCGGAGCTGAGCTGGCGGTAAAGCGTGGGGCAAGGTGGGTGCGTCTAGTGACAAGCAGTGGGAGGGAAGGCGGTCACCCAGCCGCCACCTGGAAGGGGCAGAGAAAAGCCAGAGTTCCGCCTCTGCACCCTGTGCTGGACCGGCAGAGGGATCTTTTCTAGATGGTCCTTAGGTTGGAGGGCCTGGGCCCCAGCAGGTCCCTTTCTCCTCCCCTCCTATGGGCCTAGGATGGGTATGAGCCAGGGATCTAGTGAAGGATCTAGTGAGAGGACCACAGGACCCTTCCCTGGCCCCGAAGTAGGGACTCCACGGAGCAGCCAGCACTAGTTACTCCCCCGCACCCCCAAGAGCCCACGCTGGGAGCAGGCCCCACCACACCAGGCGCCGGGGGTGTGGGCGAGAGGGGCCCTCTTCGCCACTCCTTTATTCCTACTCAGACTGTTGCACACACGGACTCCAAACCTGGGGAGGTTAAGGAATGAGCTCCTTAGGTCTTCACTCCCACCCTGCCCCACCCACAGGGTCCCCGCGTGGTCACTACAGGTGACCTTCCTTCTCTGGGGTCTGGAACACCCCCAGCAGGAAAGACAGGAAGAAGCTAATTATAGCCTTTCCCTTTGGACTGAACCCCCCAGTTCAGTCCAGGAGGGGACTTGCTAGCCCGTCTCCCTTGATATCCTGGCGTGTTGGGCTCGTGAATGCCTCCTAGCCAAATCGCTAGACCCCAGCCCCCTTCCTGTGCCAAGACGCTCTCCCCACCCTGACCGTGCTAACTGTGTGTACATATATATCTACATATATGTATATTAAACCCGCACTGCCATGTCTGCCCTTGCTCGTGGTGTCTAGCATTAACTTATTGTCTAGGCCAGGGCGGGGCTGGGAGCGGAACACCACAGCCAAGGGAGGGCCCGTCACGTTGCTACATAGGCAAAATGAAAAAAAATTTTTTTTAAACTTTAAATTCACACGCCATTTCAAGAGACTTTTTAGAGAAAGTTGGAAGTTCAGAGCTTGTAAGATGTGGGAGCAAAACTGACGTGGGACAGGAAGACTGGCTGCTGGAAGAGGGAGGAAGCCAGGCTGGCCGGAGAGTGGCTTCTGCTCCCGGCCTGGCCCGGCCCCGCCGTCCCCTCTGGCCACTGCTGCGGCACCTGCCTTAACACGCACACCTGGAGCACTCCACAGCTCTGCCTTAAAGGACCCCCCATGCCTGCCCAGCCCTGTCTGCGTCTCCCTCCAGGACAGAGAGATACTTGTAGAATTGGGAGGAGGGGGACTGAGCACGTATCGTCCTTCCGGTCAGGATTACGTGATGTGAGTGTGTGTGTGTAAGAGAGAAAGAGAGAGAGGAGGGAGGGATGGGAGCCTTCTCTGAAGAGCGGAGGGTGAGATGGGAGAAGGGAGACGGTCATTTTCAGCAGAGTCTAGGAATACCTCTGTAAGGCAAAAAATCATCTAAAAAGACTAACCTGCCCTCCCACCCCCTATGGCTGCGAGGTTGTCCCTATCCTGTGCTCCTCTGTCTGCAGTGTGCACGGCCTTCTAACCCTGGAATAAAGGTGACTGACTGTACTGCATCCGACTGAATTCTAGAGTTTCTGTGAAGGATTCTGGAGCCTTTGGCCGGGAGGGGAGGGGAAATAATACCCCAAGTCCCTCCCTGCGGCCTCGAACAGAGGCCGGGAAAACACCTAGTGCCACCCTCCCGCTCCCCGCCCCCTAAGTAGCCCAGAGCTCTGGGGCCTCGTCCACGGACAGTAGCTCCAGCTGGAGCCCGAGCCTGGAAACGTGGCTGTCACAGACCGAGCCGTCTCCAGCTGCAGTAAGGAGAGGGCCAGGCACCTACACTGGATGGCACAAAACTAGCCCACCGTGAACGAATGGGCCACGCATCACACACAACAGTGGTCAGAAAGAAAAAAAAAAGCTTTACTGAGAGAAAATACACAACAAATTCCAGAGTGCATGGTTTCTAGGCCACTCCCTCACCCAGCAGCCGTGGGAACGCAGACCACTGTGGCCACACGTCGCCCACCTCAGGGTGGAAGTGCAGCACTCACATCTGGTCTGACAGTTGCTAAGAAAAGGGACGGGAGGAAGGAGCGTCTGGGAATTCCATGCTTTCGCTGTTCCCTTCCTTCCCGGCCAGTTCTAGTAGAAGCACACCACCCCGGGGTGCAGAGCTCCGGGATGGGGCGCAGAGAGATAGCAGCACAAGCAACAGGCGGGAACGTAACTGCGACTTTCAGAGCCATGACCGGCAACGAGATACGTGTCCAAGCCCCAGCCGCCTGCACCCTCAACGTGTCCCTTGCCCACAAGGTCTCAAGAGGTGGACAGGCTGTAAAGGCCAGCCCAGGAGGGCTCTGGCGACAATGCTCTTCCCCTAGGAAGGGAGCTGCTGGGGGGAGGGGGGCGGCTTAAAGAACGAAGCAGCTGACACTAGCATGAACGTGTCCTCTGTCACATATGGTAGGACAGTCCGCAGCGACAGCACCCTTTCCGAAGTCCCGAGTTCAGTCAAGTTTTCAAGACAGGCCAGCCTCTGGTTTGGAGAGCCATCCTGGGGACCCCACAGAACAGGAGGAGAGGTAGGCGAGCTGAGGCAAAGAACTGAAAGGAAATTCCTGTTTTCCCAACCCCAAAACCGTGGCAGGAGGCAAGGAAGTGCCAAATTGAGGCTCCTTCCATTCTGGAGCCTCCAAGAACCTAAGGGGTTCGCCCTGATCTCCACTGGCCACACACACAGGGTGGGCTGACCCCAGCGCGACCGCGACATTGTTACTCCTGCGCTCTCTTTTCAGTCCCTTTATTGCGGTCAGAATATGTAGGTATTTAAACTGACAATAATTTTAACGTGATACTTCCAAGTTTGACTTGCTTTTTAATATATTTATAGATATAAAATTAGGCCTCTAACAGTGACAGGGCAAAGAGATTGCTGCCACCAAACAACTTTGTTTTAAAAGTAACAGAAGAGGTAACACGTCCTTCTATCCTTCCTCCACTTCCGCCCCTCCTCCCGCTCCCCCCAGCCCCCCTCACCAGACCCAGTTAGGGGTGACGGGATTAAGAGAAGAGCGTGAACAACACATTATCTTCAAGTGTGAAACACTGTGGGAAGTACAGAGGGTGAACGGGTGGGAAGGAAAGTGAAGAGTGTGGGGTGGTTAGGGGCTCTAAGGACTCCCCAGAAAAAACAAGATCCTGGGTTGGGGTTGTTCGGGGGGGGGAAAAAATGCAACTGTCACAGACTTTTAAAAAATAAAGAAGAAAAAGGCCAAAAACCTAAACCAGAGAGAGAGTGGCACTCCTACCACCCCCACTCTGGCCCATGGGTACTGAACAGCCAGTTATCCCCACCCCGCCCACCCAAGAAACAAGGGAGATTAAAGAAAAGGAAACCCCATTCCCTACCCCAAACCAGTTAACAAAATAGGCTCCCCCTCCCAAAAAACAAGGCTTTGGGGAGAGGCCATTTCTGCTGAGCCCTGTGCACCTCTCCACGGAGCCCATCCCGGGGCGTGGCTCCCACTCTTAGCTATTCCGCGGGTTCGCTCCCCCTCTGGTCTTTCTCCTGGGATGTCTTTCTTTTTTATCTAAAGCAAAAAGTCCAAAGTGCGTGTCTGCTGAATGGAAGGGCCTGGCACAGGAAAGGGCTGTCCAGGCAGGATCGGGCCAGCAGCCCCAGCCCGCCCCTCCTGGCGACAAGGCCTCAGGACGGCATGCACTGCACACGGTCGGGGCCCTCGTCCTCGTCTGATGTGTCTGAGGAGCTGGGAGACTCCTCGGAGTCGGCATCTGGGGCCCCAACCCCGGGCTCTCGCCAGCGCTGTAGAAAGGGAAAGGCTCTGTTAGTAACTGCCTTGGAACGAGGACAAGCCTGTTAGGTCTTAACGCTCTTCCAGACGCTCCAGGCCAGGGGTCAGCAGAATTTTTCTTCAAGGGCAGATAAGAACTATGAGAGTCACGGGCCGCAACCCCGCTGCGGCTGCGCAGCGCGGCTGTTGCAGCATGGAAGCGGCCGCAGACGACAGGAAGGAATGGGATGGTTGTGTTCCAATAAAACTTTATTGCAAAAAACAGGCAGCATGACAACTGCCAGAGTCTGCTAACCCCTGCCTTTGGCCTCTCCTGGCCTAAGGATGAAAGGAAGGCCACCCTGACACTTATTTCTTCTCCTTCGGCACGCTCCTGCCTCTGCCCTCACGAGGACAGCACTCCCTGGTGGCGACGGCGAACAGAAAGCAGACACGACCCGTTCTGCCTAGCGCTTCTGCCAAGGCCACAGCAGGGCTCTGGTGGGACTGGACGACCACGGCTCGGACACCCAACCCAGCCACCTGATCTCTTTTTAAAGTAGCGAGGAAGTGTGCCCCGAACTGTTTTACCCTGGAGAGCGTCACTGCCCTTGGAGCTCGCCTCCCACGGCCGCTTACCCGGTGGTGGCGTCTCTGTCTCAGGTGGTGCATGAGGAACCAGAGCATGTGGCTGTCGAACAGGTCGGTGTGGTGCAAGCTGTCCTCGTCGCGCTCCCGTTTGTTCTTCTTTATCACCTGGAACCCAAGAGGGCCGGGGCCGGGCGGCCGTGAACGGGAGCCCTGGGCCGCCCGGGCTGGCCCTCCATCCCCGTGAAGACCTCCCTGACGAACTGTGGTGCCGCAGGGGAGCTAGGCCGCTCCGGGAGAGGAGGCACCGGGCTCACCCACTCGGGAGGCTGGGAAGCCCTGAACTAGAATGATTCTTCCTCCCGACGCCCGGCCCACCGGCAAGACGGGCGCTCCGCAGCTGCCCGCAACCCCGCGCTGGGACCACTCCCCGAGCGCCAACTGCGGCCAGGCAGGGGGCGGTGTGCGGCCAGTGCCTCTGCCGAGCAGGCAGCCAGCGGCTACCCCTCCCCACACCCGGCAGGACGCAGCGTGAACGTGCACGGCCAGCTACTCACGTCCTTCAGCCCTGTCAGCTCGGTGGAAGTTTCAGCTGTGGGTGCCCAGATCTTGACATCATGGTCAAGGCCACTGGTCGCCAGCACAGGCAGGTGAGGGTGGGGCTCGAGACAGTTCACCTGGCAGGAAAAGAAAGCACAGGCTCAGGCTGGATGGGAACGGGCTTAAAAAACACTACTCACCTTGAGCCCAACATACTCCTCAACCAGAGCTGAGGCAGAGCCGGGAAGGCAGGCCCCACCGTCATGAGTGTGGGCCCAGGGCCCTGGGGGTGGAGGAAACACTGGACACAGACCACTGGACACAGACCCAGTATAAGACCAGGCCTCTCTCTCATTCCCTAAGTAGAGGCAGGGGTGGCCTCACCCTAGACACAGCCCCAGGGGTGGGCGGGTGACTGGCCAAGCTCACTGCTGGCGTCACGAAAAGGCAGTGAGGTCCAGATGACCTCATCCACTCCGGATTCCACAGCTCCGACTTGCCCAAGGCTGGGGGGCGGGGGGTGGGGGGGGCCCTCTCAGAGGCTTTCACGAAATGGCAAATAAATTTTTAAAAATGAAGAAAGCAACAGTTGCCGCTGAACGCCTGGAAGACAGTCCAGGGACGATTACATTCACTTGGCGCTGGGGACTCGAACCGGAGGGAGGCGCAGGCCGCCAAGAGGCAGTCTGCACGAGCGAGGAGGTAGGGGAGGCTCAGGTATGCTCGAGAACCCTGTGCGCCCCGGGGCTCAGCACCCTGCTGTCCGCCCCGGAAGCCCGACAGGCTCAGGTCAAGCGTGGCACAACGCAGGCAGAGAGCTTCCCACGCCCATGGTGTCCGCATCAGCCACCTCTGGGCACCGTCACGAAGCAGGGGAGATGTTCTCCCACAGACAGGCCGGCTTCTGGCTTAGACAGCCGTCTGGAGGTACCCATGCCCCCTGCTGTCTGACTTGGAAACATCACCTTCCAAACGGCAGGGCAGGGTGGGGCGGGGTGGGACAGGGCAGGGCGGGCAGCGCCCAGGGCCTCTGGTAGAGCTGGTCCCAGGTCAAGCTGCCAAAGCATTTTCGGGCTTTGAGTCAGATGAGGGATAGATAGGAAAGGCCCCAGAAGGAAGAGGGTGTGGTTCCAGCCGCTCCTCACCCACCCCCCCATCCCATCCCGTCCCGCCCTGCAGCTGCCCTGTAGGCCAAGAAAACAACCCCTGGCAGAAAGCCTCCTTCATCTTTCAGGTCTCTCCGGACCAGCCTCCTCCGGGCCTGCACACGCAGGGGGGTGGGCAGCTGAGGGGAAACGGGAGCCAGTATCGGAAATAAAACGGACCCAGACTTCCAACCTTCTTCGTTCTCCCATTTGACAAGTAAATAAAAATGCTCCAGAAAAAAACTTAAGCTAAAGCCTGAGCCTAAGAATAAAGCAGAAATCCTACTTCTCTTCTCCTTCTCTCATTCCCCATGGGGATCCCCAGTTTGTGTGGGGTCTCTCTTGGGCAGTGGGGAAGAGCCTCCGGCCTGTGCAGCGCGAGGAGGCACTAGACAGGGCGCCACTGCCTGAGAATATGATTGAAAGATGCGTGACCACTCACGCACGCCAACCTGAGCTCCTCCATCCACCTCTTGATAAGCCTCTGCTCCGCTCTATTCGGACCTAACCTCTGCTTGAGCAGGTCAGTAAAATCAGAACGCACAGAGGAGAAATTCCTTGGGACTTAAGACTGAGGGCAAAACCGAGGGCAGAGCCAAGGGCGAGAGGAGTACAAGGAGCACACAGTACCTGGGCTGGAGCCTGCCGGGGGCGCTGGCAGAGAGCTTCTGGACCAGGCCCGTCTGAGCGCCAGGACTTACCCGGTCAGTAACACGCCTGAGCAGAGCGAAGAGCTCCAGCCTTAAGAGGACCGGACTGGGCGACGCAGGGATGGGAAGGGGCAGCGAAGTGCTTTGGGAGACTAAGGACTGTCCTCCAACATCATCCCCCCATCCGTCCCTGAATGGGAACAAAGAAAGGACTAGAGTTTGAGCCAAAACCAGACTTAAGAAACCTAGGCAAGGCAGACAAGAATGTCCTAAGACCCCTTCTGGTTCTAAAATTCTACGTCATGATGGGCTGCTCTCTGCCTGCCTCGGAGGCCGGTGCCTGGTGACCCACAGCAGGCAAGTCAGGCCCAAAGAACAGACGGGCCAAGCGAGGGCACACAGGTCATCAAGCTCCCCAGCTGGGAACCTTGTTTCGGGGCGCAGTCTAACTCTCACTCTCGGGACCACTCAATCCAGGCCTGGGGCCCACCCATCCCGTGCAGGTGCCCACCACACCTGAGCGCCTGGACGCCTCACCAAACCCCGAGCCGGCCTGCGGAGTGGGCTGGGGGAACGGACAAGGGCTGGCCTGTGGGAGGGCACGCAGCCCCCCGTCTCTCTGGAACGGAACGCAAGACAGTTTAGGATCTAGAAAGGTTTCATGGCCCCTTGTGACTTCCTTCTGACTATACGCCTACTGCAGAACTCTCATGAGGACTCCAGTGTTTTAGTGTGGCCACTGCAGATGACAGAAGAGGACCTAGGGGAGAGCAGGACATGAAGCAGGCAGCCGTGAGACACACCTTCCAGCTCGGGACCCCTCTCCACATACGTGCAGGCCGTGGAAGCCTTGGATCTGTCCTAGCCCCAGGTCCCCCAAATTTAGATAAAACCAGAAAACAACCTGAAATGATTTCACACCAGGGCAAGAAACAAGGAAAAGCAGTGCGACAGCAACGAACCATTCTTAATTCTTCTGCGCTCTCAGGATGAGCCTACGGACAGAAGGCTGGGCTCTCTGCAGCCCCACGGTGCGCAGAAGGAACGAGAGAAGCCGAGCCAGCTCGGCCGCTCCCCAGAGGCCCTGCACCAGCCTGCCTAGGGCGATCGGCACGACGCGGTCTGCCGCACCGCCTCTCTTCTGCCGTCCGAGAACCTTACACTAGGAAGCCACTCGACCCCCTTCCTAACTCTGGGTCTCAAAATGGAAAGAAATATATGGTTAGCTAGATGCACCATAGAAGCACACCACGCTTCACCCCGCCATCAGGGTCCCCGTGCTGCTTTTCTGCCCTGCCTCTGGGAAGGCGGTCTGCAAGTCAAAGGACAGGCATAGCAGGCTGCTCAGTCTTAAAAATTACTTAAAAATAAGTAAATAAAAATTCTAAGAAATTTAAAAAAATTGTTTTGGGTGTTTGCTCTGTCCCTATTAGGTCCTTCTGGCTTATATCCGTTGACCCAGGATCTAGTCAAGATCACTACTTCGCGCCCCTTGGGGGGACGAGGCATGAGCCACGCAAGCGTCTCTGGCTCAGCGCAGGACAGAGCGCCCCGAACTCCAGCGCTTTTCTTTTAGAAAAGGTGTCTGCCTCGAGATCCCTCATTCAAGCCAGAGGTTCTCTCTGAAGATCCCTTTCTCTCCTCAATAAACCATGCTTTAGAGGGGCAGAAGACAGAAAAAGGGAGACAAGATCCCACCAAAACCTCGGCAGCGCCGGATGACCCTGCCGCCACTGTGCCGGCCGGACCCGAGCCGCGGCGTCGTGGAGCCACGGAGCCATGGAGCCAGAGCGCCGCGGGCCTGCTGGGACCTACCTTCCAGGCGGGAGAGCAGGGAGCCCGGCAGCCCAGTGCGGCATACTCACCACGCCTCCCTTGTCCCCCTCCATGAACTGGACGATCTGGCACGATGACTTTTCCCAGAGGAAGATGTGCCCGCAGTCACTGCCGCTCACCACAAACTCACTCTTGGGGCCATAGAAATTGACGCCTTTTACTGAAATGATAAAGGAGGGAAGAAACCACTGGAGAGTTGGCATTGGGCCTGTATATATTTACCTCATAGGGACTTGAGTTATTCACAAACTCTGAGTCAGCTAAGAGCCAAAGACGTCCTTTCACTTTCACAGAACAAATCAGGGGACTGTGTGTACAGTAGAGGCCAAAAATCACACCAGTCGCAGAAACGACTTCCGATCCCCCGCAGGGCTCCACGGGGCTGAGGGGCTGCAGTCCCCCAGCAGCAGCCTCGGTCCCCGTGGTCTCCGCCCTGTGGAGCACCTCCAGACTCACTAATGCCTTACTTGTCCCAGGCTGAATCACCCCAGCTCTGCCCACGCCCAGGCAGCCCTGTCCTATGCCCGAGGATCACCCTGGGCTTCCTGGGCTGCCACCAGGCCTGAGAATGAGGGCGGGCTCGGCCGCCGCTGCCCATCAGAGGCACGGGAACTGTGCCTGCTTCCGAGACTCTCAAGGACACGGCTCCGGCCTCTGAAATGACTAAGCGAAGCCGCGCATCCCAGCACCCCTGTGCAGCACCATGGCGGTCATGGGACTGCACTCAGCTTCTCTCTGCCCGTGGACTACATTCCAAGCACTGGTTCCCGGCTCGCCTCACCAGCTCAGAAGAAAAAGGACAAGTCACTGCTCTCCCCAAGTCAAACTTAGGACAGGTACCTGTTAGGGGTGGTGAGGACAAGGAGCAGCGGCCACCACAGCTCTTCCGATTGCTGGCGGCACACAGGGAGCTTTTAAAAAGACCCCTATCAAGCTGCACCCAATCCCAATTAAACCAGAATGTCTGGGGACAGAAGCCAGGCCTTAAAAGACCGGCAGGTGACTCCGTGGCGCCGCCGAGCTCAGTGACCACGAACACAACACAGACGGCCCCTCTTCGCCGCAGCCTGGGGATGAGGCCCTGGCACCAGGCCTCCGTCCCTGCCTCGTTCTGAAGACTTGCTGCCCCCTCCGTCCTAGAGCCAGAAGCTCCTCACTCCTCCCGACCCCCGGTTTCAGGCAATTCAGTGCCCCAGACTGAGGAGGGCTCTCCCAGACTCCCTAACAGCCTGTTAAGCCTGAAGTTACCTGAGATTTTTTTTTTTTTAAAGATTTTATTTATTTATTTATTTACTTGACAGACAGAGATCACAAGTAGGCAGAAAGGCAGGCAGAGAGAGAGGAGGAAGCAGGCTCCCTGCCGAGCGGAGAGCCCAATGCGGGGCTCGAACCCAGAACCCTGGGATCATGACCAGAGGTGAAGGCAGAGGCTTAACCCACTGAGCCACCCAGGCGCCCCGTGACCTGAGATCTTGAGAAAAACACGTTCACTCACGTCTTCTTAGGCCTGACTGAGGCCCCACCCCTGCAGCGAGAGAGGCTGCGGGGCTCTGTGCTTGAGCACAGCAGCCACGGAAGCTCCAGCCCGATGAGGGACACCCTCTCACGGCCCTGACAGGCAGCCCCGTCCTGTCTGTGCAGCCAGAACGACACGCTGCAGTCCCTCGGCCACCCCGGCCGCCAGGGGGACGAGTTTACCTGTGGCGTTATTCCGGTGGCCCTTGTATCTCTTCACGTACTGGGCCCCATCGCTGTGAGCGGAGTTGAAGAGGTAAATGTCTTCGTCGTTGTAGCTGGCCAGGAGCTCTGCCAAGAACAAGCACACAGCAGTGAAGGCAAAGGCTGAAACAGAGCTGGGACCAGGAGTGGGGGCGGGGGTGCAGCTTCTCGCCGGGAGCGCCCCCTCCTAACACCCCGCCAGAGCGCCCATCTCGCTCCGCTGGAGCGGCAGGCAGGTCAGGCGTCCGGGGCAGACCGAGAACACGCCGCCGGCCCAGGGGCGGCAGGAAGCTCAGGAACGTCACCCCCGCTAAGGCAGGAATGAGCCACAGGCACAAGCACCTGCTCAGGGAGGAGCCCGGGCTTCGGGACGGGCACTGCGAGCCTCATCTGCGGCTTTCTGTGGGTGGCGCCGGCCTCTTGAGGCTCGCCTGCGACAGCCTCCCGCTGCGTGCCGGGCGCCGGCAGCCAGGCCCCCGCGGCTCCGGGGGAGCCAGAGCACAGCGCTGAGCGCTGGAGGGCACACGGCCCGCGGGCTCCGCAGCTCCCTAGACAGAGGGGGCGTGCCAGCCTAGGAGCTGGGCCCTGCTCACGTACCTGTGCCGTCGTGGCTGTACACAAGACAGGTGATGTTTGCTTTGGACTCACTGTTCACCTGCAATAAGGAGCAGATACTGACTGACGCCCCACCCCCGCCACTCGTTACACCACCTTCAGGAGACAGGTTTTCCTTCAAACTCCCCTCTATCTTCTCCCAGAGAGTGAGAGAGAGAGAGAGAGAGAGAGAGAGAGGCAGAGACAGGAGTACAACGAGTGAAACGTGGCCAGCTCAGGGGAGAGGGCTTCCTGCTGGTGGTTTTCTGTGTGCGAGCCATGTGACAGACACACTCTGTCCTCCAGCCTTACCATCACAGGGCAAGGCGATGACCTTTACCTCTACACTCTGTGACCAAGAAAACCTAGGCTAACAGAGGTAAAGCGACCGCCCAAGATCACAAAGCTGGTAAGTGGCGGAGCCGGGACTCAAATCCAGGGAACGGACTCGAAAGTCCAAGCAACTCCATGCCAACGATTCTGGGGACAGCCCTGGGCTTGAGTTAGGAAAGCTGGGAACCACTGGCCCCTCGTGAATCTTACCAGGTGATGAGGACAGAATTTCTTGAGCACGCCATTGTTCTCGTTCTCATCGATTTTTCGCTGGTCGTAAATCCTGTAATGGAAGAAACAATAAAATGTTAAAATTTAACGAACGCCCGGGGCACCTGGGTGGCTCAGTCATTAAGCATCTGCCTCTAGCTCAGGTCTTGATCCCAGGGTCCCAGGAGCCCACAGTGGGCTCCCTGCTCAGTGGGGAGCCCGCTTGTCCCTCTCCTTTTCCCCCTGCTTGTGCTCTCTTTCTCTGTAAAAAAAAAAAAAAAATCTAAAAAAAAAACCCCAAAACTTACAAACTGATCCCTTGGAGAACTGCAAAGCAGGGCAGCAAGAGCCGGGAGCTGGACGTCAGGACAGATAAAGGATGTCACCGCACCGGGATCCCGGCTCCCACTCTTCCCAGAAGGCCCTCCTCTCCCAGCCCTTTCCGAATCCTGACTCTCACCCAGACACTCCCCAGTTCAAGCGGAACCCTGAATCACATGAACCCAAGTGGCTTCTCTCTCCTCTCAGCTTTTAATCGCTGTTTATTTCCACCGAAAATTCCCCAACAGCCTTTACTGCTACAGAGGCCAGGCTTCTAGAAGTCCGTGGGTCTTCAAGCCTGTCGTGGCCTCTAACTTGGCCCATTCACCCTCTCGCTCCTCACGGTGACGATTACACCCCCCAGCCCCCGCCCAGGATCTCCTCAAGACTTCTTTCCTCCTGCCTTCATTCCCATCCAACCACTGTCACCACTCCTCATCTCTGTGATCCAAACTCTGACCCTTCATTCCAACACCTAGGACAGATGTCATCAGCCAGGTATCCTGTCAGGTGCTGGGCATACGGCAGGAACAAGCCTCAGCCGGTGTGCTTCCCCCCATCTCGGCGCTCCTCTCCACAGCTGTGCTTTCCCCACTCCGAGGACCGGCTTCGCCAAGTCCAGTCCTCGACCTCTCCCTCGTGCCTGTCTGCCCATTTCCTAAACACCCTCCCTCCCTCTCCTGACTTTCCATTATTGCTTTTTCTGTCCTTCCCTCTCATAGTCAAACTACTGGAAAAAGCAACCTGCGTTCAGTGTTGTCGCGTCGTTTCCTGTTCCCTTCTCAATCCATCACGATCTAGCTTGGGCCCTCAACCCGCTGGTGAGGCCTCCCTGGCTCGAGTGACCGGTGGCCCGACAGCCTCCACCCACAGGCCACTCTCTGGGCCTCTCCCTCTCCTCTTGACACCATCCGGGCGGTGGTGACCAACCACCCCTCCCCGGCGTTCACGAGCTTGTCGGTCTTTCTCTCTTCAACGCTGATACTCCCCAGATCTTTGGTCTGAAGTTCTCCTCTGACTCTACAGGGAAACCATGATGCAGAGGGAGGTTTGGCCTAGGTTATTTGTAGTATCCCTCTAACTGACTTCCTTGCTCATGCTGTTGCCGGAATTATTCTAAAATGCAACATTTTATGCAAACTCCCCGCTTAAAATCTCTCCAGTGATTCTGTATTTTTCTTCTAAATAAAGTCCAAATTCCATCTCTTAGGACTCTCCACCTCTTCTCCAAGAACCTGTACATTATACGAGAACAAGCAAAAAAGAGCGAGGCTTCCTCGAACACACTGTGTCACGTGTCATAGCCTGTGTCCTACCTCTACCCGCACCGGCCCGTCCGGCCCCTCTACCCGCGATCCTCATGTCCCGTTTGGTTTGAGAATTTCCTCTGTGAGAAAGAACAGCATGAAGAAGTGGTTTCTCCCGGGTTTAAGGAGTCTGAGGTCAAACACTGACTCTGCTGCTTAGCAGTGGAGTAATCCTGGGCATGTACTTAACAATTTTTATCCTTAATATACCTGTTTCTCCAGAATGTTCCTCAAAGGCGAGGTCTATTTAGCTGTGGGCTAGCATTAGAGTGCTCTGTAGCACGGGAGGAATGGAGGAACGAATCAATACATGTCTGTGTTCCCCACAACTTCCTGCTTAACGTCCTACATTAAGAGAATTGTCCGGAAATGTTTGCTAAGTGAACCCCGAAAAAAGAAAAGACAAACAGGAGACTGCTACAAGTACTCCTCCTCAGCAAACACAGCAGCTGATCATCTGATGTAAACAAAGCCTAATCAACAGCTCTTAAATATCACTAAGCCACCGTAAACTCTCTAAGTCAGCAAATTAGTAAAACACATTTAAGTATTCAATATTTTGGTGTATGGCCCATTCGGTGTTCCTCGGTATGGAAGGCTCTCTGCTCTTCCTCTTTCTGAGCAAACCCTTACCTTCCTTCCCCTCTCTTCCCTAACTATTTAAGAAGAACCTACTACACTCTAGATAGGACGCTAGACTGGGGGTTGGCAAACTTGATCTGAAATGGTAAGACCGGAGATGTTTTAAGCTGTCAGGCCATCTGGTCCCTGTCACAACTACCAAACTCTGCCGCTGGAGCATGAAAGCAGCCTTGGATAATATGTAAATAAATGGCCATGGCTGTGTTCCAATAAAACTTTATTTATAAAAAACAGGCAGTATAGGGGCATCTGCGTGGCTCAGTTAAGCATCTGACTTTGGCTCAGGTCACGATCTCATGGTCCTGGGATGGAGCCCTGCGTCAGGCTCCCACTCGGCCAGGGGTCAGCCTGTCCCTCTCCCCTTACCCCTCCCCCAGCTCCTGCTTGCTCTCTCTCTCAAAACTAAAAAGAAAACAAAACAAAACAGGTAGTAGAGTTTGCCAGCTCCTGTGCTAGACGGTGCGGATACAAAGATGAATACGAATTAGTCCCCTATTTTCGAAGCACAGGACAGGCTCTTGGTATTTAAAAAATTTATTTTTTTTAAACATCAGAGACTTTATTTTTTCGGGCAGTTTTAGGTTTACGATACTACTCGGGGGTGGCAGGGGTTTCCCTCACTCTCTGCCCGCACACACATCACCTCAACACTATCAACACCACTCACCAGAACGGTTTTTGTAGGCTTTTTCCAAGGATGAACCTACACTGACATACTGCGACCACCCGGGCGTTTGCTCCTGATGCATCTTCTACAGGTTTAGACAAATGCAGGACACAGATCCATCGTTATGATGCCATACGGAGCATTTTCACTGCCCTGAAAATCCTCTGTGCTCTGCCTGTTCCTCTCTTCCCCGCCCCGACCCCTGAAAACCACCAGCATTTTTATCGCGTCCATAGTTTTTTGCCTTTTCCTGAATGTCATACGCTTGGAATCATATAGTATACAGCCTTTCCAGACTGGCATAACACGCACTTCATGGTCCTCTGCGTCTTCACGTCTGGACGGCTCGCTTCTTCTTGAGCACCAAACCCTGGTCCAGCATCTTGATGCACCAGTCACACCACAGTTGTTTCCAAGTTTCACCAACAGCGAAGAAAGCTGCTCCACACATCCGTGTGCAGGTGTCTGAGTGCACGTACTTCTCAGCTCCACTGGGCAAACACCAAGGAGCACGGCTGCTGGATGGTGCAGGAATAGCATGTTTAGTTTTGTGTGAAACCACCAACTGGCTTCCGGTGTGGCTGTAGCGTCCCGCACTCCCACCAGCAATAAATGAGAATTCCTGTGGCTCCGCACCCGGCCAGGATCTGGTGCTGTCAGTGTTCCGGAGCAGTATCTCGTCGTTAGTATGCATTTTCCTGATGACCCAGGACATGGAACAACCTTTTACATATTTATTTGCGATCTATATACCTTCTTCAGCGAGGTGTTAAGGTCTTGGACCCATTTTTTAATTGGGCTTTCTCCTTGTCGAGTTTTAAGAGCTCTTCGTGTATTTTACCTAACAGTCTTCTATCAGATATGCCTTTTGCAAGTATTAAATCCCAACCTGTGATTTGTCTTTCAATTCTCTTGCACAGAGCAGAAGTTTTTCATTTTAACGAAGTGTACCTTATCAACTACTTCACAAATCATGTTGCTGGAATTATATCTAAAAAGGCATCACCACTTTTTGTCCGACATCTCAGCAAGGCTGCAGGCGTGGCCACTGCTCTCCAAGCCTCCCAACACCTCCCAAGGACAAGGAGGAAGATGCCGGAAAGCCAACCAAAAAAGACAAAGGCCCAGTGAACAAATCTGGGGGCAAGGCCAAAAAGAAGTGGTCCAAAGGAAAAGTCTGGGACAATCTCAGTAACCTGGTCTTGTGTGACAAAGCAACACGTGACTAACTCTATAAGGAAGTTCCCAACTATAAGCTTTTCACTGTAGCTGTTGTCTCTGAGAGACTGAGGAAGCGACATCCTCTGGCCGGGCAGCCTTTCAGGAGCTCCTCAGCGAAATCCTTACTGAATCGGTCTCAAAGCACAGAGCACAGAGCTCAGGGAGCTTCCGCCAGCAGCGCCGAGCGGGGAGGTGCCCGAGCTGCCAGTGAAGATGCATGAACAGAGCCGCGACTGGACATTCCGGAAAGTAACAATTTATTAAATCAAAAATAAAAGCCACCACCATACCAAAGGTCATCCAGGTTTTCTCCTATGTGATCTTCTAGAAGTTTTATAGGGTGGGGTTTTACTTTTAGGTCTGTGATCCATCCGAGTCAGTTTCTGTGAAGGGTGTAGGGTCTGTCTAGATTCCATTTTCCACGTGTGGACGCGCAGCCGCTCTGGCACCGCTTGGTGGGCAGATCCTCTCGGCCCCACTGTACTGCCTGAGCAACCTTGTCAAAGATCCGTCGACTACACTGACGTGTGTCAATGCAGGGCTCGCTGCGCTGTTCCACGGATCTACTCGTCTATTCTTCTGCCAATACTGCACTGTCTCCGTGACTGCAACTTTACGGGACGTCTTGAAGCCGGGGTTATCGGTCCTCCAACTCTGTTCTTCCCCTTCCGTACTGTGTTGGCTATTACAGATCTCTTGCCTCTCTACACAAACTCTAAAATCAGTTTATCACCATCCACAAAATAACTTGCTGGGATTTTTACTGGAATTGCACTGAATCAACAGATCAAGTCGAGAAAGAGTGACATCTTCACAACATTGATTCTTCCTGTGCCCTTCAAATCCAGCGTGGTTTCAACACAGTCTCGACACCCTTATGGCATCTCCACAGGCCTTCACGTACCCATTAGCTTGTTACCTTAAGCCTCTCTCTTCCCTCCTCATCTCTTCTCCCCACACCTCCCCACCCCAGCCTGCCCACCACCTGCCCCTGCCCTTAAATCTAGCGTTCTCTCGGTGTTGCTGATATCGGCCTAAGGACAGAAAAGCAAAGGGACTATTTATTGAGTGTTTATCGACCAGGGCCTATACCAAATCCTTTACCAATAAATTTACATGTCAACACACCAGGATTCATTCATCTGATACTTTCTCCTTTTCCTCACTCCCGTCAATTCATAAACCTAATCCTACCTAAGTAGGATCCAGTAGTAGGCACCCACGCCTCCACCACCTCCATTTGCCTACTTTTTCCTTTCTTCCCCCACCCCTTTTCTGGCTATAGGCCAAAAAGCAGGTCTCTCTAGGCTTCCTTTAAATGCTTCACAATACTAAACCAAAATGCAGTGTTCATGATGCAAAGGCCTTGAGGATGAGTAAGCAATTTCTCTGTATTCCCTTAAGGAATTCCTTCAGGCTAGGAATGAAAGCTAATGGCGTCATGATACAAAATATTCATCAAAAATATTTCCAGATTTGTACTGGAAGGTGAGCTCTTTAGGACCCTTCAAAGAAATAATCAGAAAGGGGAAATCCGGGGCGCCTGGATGGCTCCCTGGGTTAAAGCCTCTGCCTTCCGCTTGGGTCATGATCCCAGGGTCCTGGGATGGAGCCCCACATCCAGCTCTCTGCTCAGCGGGGAGCCTGCTTCCCCCCCGCCCCCACTCTGCCTGCCTCTCTGCCTACCTGTGATCTCTGTCTGTCAGATAAATAAATAAATTCTTTAAAAAAAAAAAAAAAAGGGGAAATCCCAAAACATTCAACTGGCTGAACTGAAGAGGTGCCAGAGAAACTGAACAAGCCTAATGTCAGAGAAGAGCTGGGGTGCTTGAAGGACCACCTACTTGCACGGGGTCAGTGTGCCTCCAAACCTACACACGCCGAGTAACAGCTTACATCTGCTAAAAAAATTTGCAATCTACAAAGGGACAGAGGCTATTGAGCTGATAGAAAATCCAGGGCACCTGGGCGGCTCATTGGGTTAAAGCCTCTGCCTTAGGCTCAGGTCATGATCTCAGAGTCCTGGGATCGAGCCCCACATCGGGCTCTCTGCTTAGCAGGGAGCCTGCTTCCTCCTCTCTCTCTTTCTCTCTGCCTGCCTCTCTGTCTGCTTGTGATCTCTGTCAAATAAATAAATAAACCCTTTAAAAAAAAAAAAAAAAGAGAGAGACAGAAAATCTAAGTATTCCTCCTTGTGCTAAAATGTTGAAACTGATTTCCAGCCTTAGTCTAACCCTGGCAACATTATCAGCTTTGGATTAAGGCATTATCAACTGCAGTTCTGGATAAAGCCAACTGCTCTAGTCTCCTCCAAACATCAAGGACCTAGTGGTTGGATTATCTACAGATACAGACTTTTCAAGCAGTCCAAAGCTCTAACTAAGCAGGAAATCCAAACCAGAAATTTCAGTAAATGCTTTATTTGGAGGAGGCAACACCTGACAACTACAACCCTTTTCGATCAATAGCTTATTAAAAACAAAAACACTATTCCTACGTATTTACTACTGGTGAATAAAGGGTAAGAATTTGGAAAGCAAGGGACACAGGAAATAGGCACAAAGTTGTCTAATTCTCTTGTGGCAGGATTCTTGAACAAGGGAAGGTCATCTTTCATGTATTTTTTTCTTTTTTTTTAATTTTTATTTATTTCTTTGACAGAGACAGATCACAAGCAGGCAGAGAGGCAGGCAGAGAAAGGAGGAAGCAGGCTCCCCGCTGAGCAGAGAGCCCGATGCGGGACTCGATCCCAGGACCCTGATATCATGACCTGAGCCGAAGGCAGAGGCTTAACACTGAGCCACCCAGGTGTCCCTTTCATGTATTTCTAAAAACTTACTCTAACCCCATGATATATATCAGTGAAATTAATCTCAGAATCATTATGAAAAAAAAAGTGCTCTTATTTTAAAAGGAAAATAATGCTTTTCACCCCCCACCCCAATCAGGAAAGCAAAAAATCATTCATTTTTCTAGCGATCCTCTCCCTCCTCCTTTTCAAACTGATGATCCCTGAGCAAAGCCGGAGAGTATAACCACAGAAACAGAGCTCAAATAGGCCAACTGGGTAGGGAGGGGATACAGTTTGTGACTAAGGGCCAGAAGGAAACTAAGTGATACACATGGGGATTGAACCTCTGAACTCTTTTCCTTAGGATATGCCTCAACAGCCTGTGTTACAACATTCACAGTAACAAAGATATCACTAAGGAGAAAGAAAACAGGACAGTGGGAGTCAAAAACCCAGAGCTCACACTGAGTACTCCCACTCATGTCATTTCTGTATCTGAAGCCAGCCTTCAAAATTTCTAGTACATGTTAATTTATATACGAAAAATGGTGGAAAATATTTACTAATACATCGATTGCTAGTAAACCCAGATTTATGTCACAGCTGCTATGTGGGGACCTTGGTCAATTCATCAAACTTCTTTAAAACATGGCAATCTCCTATGCCTGGAGCATCTGCCTTCGGCTCAGGTCATGATCCCAGGGTCCTGGGATGCAGCCCATCAGGCTCCTTACTCAGCAGGAAGTCTGCTTCTCCGTCTGCGCCCCGCTCCCCCACCAAACCCGCCCCATGCTTTCTCTTGCGTGCTTTCTCAAGTAAATAAAATCTTAAAAAAAAAAAAAAAAAAAAAAAAGAACTTGACAATCTCTGTAACATGGTAAGCTATCCCTCAGGAATTCCTACTGTTACATCACAGGACAGAGTGCCTCAGAAGAAGCTTAAGCTCTTTGGAAGGGGGTAAAAAGTTCAAGATGGTGGTTAATGGATTCTGAGCCCATTCTCATGTGCCACAAAGGACACCTGGTGGTCCCCAATGCATCAGTCTCTAAGTCTTAACACAAAAGAGCCGGACTCACCTTACAAACTGATCTCGTCCACCCACTGCAAACTGGTGGGTATTGGCAGGATTCACATAGATCGTATACAGCCCCACTTTCTTCTCCTTTTCTTTTGTCACCACCAGTTTCCTTCAAGAGTAGAAGAGTGTAAAAGTTATATTCTCTAAAAGACGCAGATGGTCACAACAAAAGAGAGCACAGAGAATAATGCAGACACAGCTAGTAAGACCAGATTCTCGGGGCGCCTGGGTGGCTCAGTCGTTAAGCATCTGCCTTCAGGTCATGATCCCAGGGTCCTGGGATCAGGCCCCGCAATGGACTCCTGGCTCGGCAGGAAGCCTGCTTCTCCCTCTCCCACTCCCCCTGCTTGTGTTCCCTCTCTCGCTGTGTCTCTCTGCCAAATAAATAAACAAAATCTTAAAAAAAAGAAAAAAAAGACCAGATTCTCACTGTGAAAGCAAGAAAAAAGTTTTGTTTTGAACACTGGAACAAGAAAAAAACAAAAATCACCTCCACATATATTTAATAAATGCTACCTTGGGGAAGGAAAAACAAACGTGTAGTGAAGTCATTTTCTGGTGTTCCTCAAGACGTGTAAATTAAAGTATATGAAAGTACTGCTTCTCAGGTAGTGTTGGTTTAGCCGGAGTCCAACACGATGATAAGCTATCATTAAACAAACGATACCACCCACATCTTCCCATCGATATAAATACATCCTCCCAATCCATCTGGGAGCAGGGAGCAAGAGGAGGATGAATCATAAAAACAGTGGCCAGAAAAGACCTTAAGGTTAGAATCTACCTCCTAGGCGCACCTGGGTGGCTCAGTCAGTTAAGGTCTGTCTTCGGCTCTGGTCATGATCAAGCCCTGAGTCGGGCTCCCTGCTCAGCGGGGAGACTGCTTCTCCATCTCCCGGGGTCCCTCTCTCCCCTGCCTGTGCCCTCCTTCTTTCTCTCTCTCCCAAATAAATAAAATCTTAAAAAAAGAAAGAAAGAAAGAAAGAAAGAAAGAAAGAAAGAAACCTACTTCCCAGATTCCACAGAAGTGTCACTTACAACCCAGCTCTAAAAATGCACACCGAAAAATGACAAGCCTTAACTCTAGCACAGGACAGCCCAAAGGAAAGCAGCATTCTTCCTTTGTCTGAAGCAGGTGAGGAGAGATTCGTATGGAGACAGCTATTTCTAAAACTGGAAAAATCATCTCTAAATTACTCCTCTGGTTGTACCACAAAAAAAGGGTGATCCTTAGGAGGTCTTTGGGGTCCTGAGTAAAACCCTCTAAAATTTTAGTTTTAGCCAGAAGATTCTGGCTAAATAGCCCTGCCTGTCCCAGCTTAAGGGTGGCACTATGAATACTTTTCCCGAATCCAAGTGTCCAGCCAGTCAAATATGCTATCATAGAGATTAATGAATTTACAGGAAAGGAAAGACAGGGAAGGAAAGGGCTGGGTTCTAGCTTTCCTTTTTAATTCTACGGTTTTGTGCATTCTGTTGTTATGGAAACTGAAAGAAATAGAACCATGACAACGAGTTTCTTTGTAAAGAAATGATTTTAGCATCTTCTCTGCATGGTCAAAGTCCCTCCAGTCTAGAACTGCTCTAAGCAGTTCTAGACTGGAGAGATTTTACTTGATTTTAAAATCTCTGCAGCTTTTCACTTAAGGACTACCTGGGGGCGCCTGGGCGGCTCAGTCAGTCAAACGTCTGCCTTTAGCTCAGGTCATGATCCTAGTGTCCTGGTATCAAGCCTGCTTATCCTTCTCCCTCTGCCCCTCCTGCCCCCTAACTTACGTGCTCGCATGCAGTCCCTCAAATAAATAATAAATAAAATCTTGAAAAAAGAAACAGTGCATGAAAGTCATGAAAATGAATGTCATTAAGGAAAACACACACATTCACAACCCTCAAAAACACAAGGTAGAAAACATATCCAAACTGAGTTTAAGGAACAAAACTAGCCCAGAGGAGAGGCAGCTCGAATCAGGTCTCCGTCGGGGAAAAGCAGATGCTGCCGCTCTTCACAAGATCATCGCATTTTCTCAGCAATGTGGGTTTTCAGAAGGAGAGAGGCAGACAAACATAAGGCTGACCATGTGGAAGCAGAAGGAAGAAACTGAAGGGACAGATTATGAAACAGGGCTCCGCCACCCTGTAATCCTGACAACGAGCTCGATCTTCCTAATGCCTCAATGTACTCATCGGAAATGAAAAATTCTCTCTCCCAATGGATAAATGCAGAGTACCATGGGTTTTCCAGGGAGCTGGCTATAAAAATGATTAATCATGGCAGCAGGTGAAAAGAAAAAATTTTTTTTCCTATCAGGAGGAGGAAGCACCCAAAAGCATAAGAAACAAACTTACCAAATTTTGCCTTAAAATTTGCATTTTTTAAAATAACTCAATAATGTATTATTTGTTTCAGGGGTACAAGGTCTGTGATTCATCAGTCTTACTTTTAGTAAGCAGGTATGTTCCAACAAAAAGGGAAAAACAACTACCGATCAGGGCAAAGAAGTCCTCTGTAGAGTATTTCAAACGGGCTTCCACTGGCTAAAGGAATATCCCACCCACAGCTCCAAACCCAACTCTTTTCCTAAAATGTCAGCCAGTCTCACCAGCTTCCAGAGACTTAGCTATCATAAACACACAAAAGAGAAGCTCCCACTATGCCAGCTTCACACAAGGATGCCTCTGACGTGTGCATGTTCACGCACTAGCTCCACACATAAAGACAGCTTGGACTTTCCAGCCATGACCTTACACGCAGTCCCCCACCTCAGTCAAGCTTTCTACTACTTCTTCAGCCCCTAAAGCAAAAACTTCTTGAAAGTTCAGTCTCTTATTTCCCCAAATCCAGAATCTGGGCCTCCTCCTCCTTCAAGCTTCTCCTATATTCCCTCTTTGAATTTCTAGCCCATCCATCAGTGCTTGCATCCAGAGCCACTGCTTCTGTCATTTCATTCCAAATTCAGTAATCTGCCGAAGTTATCTGTTTTGCCCACGACATGGTCTCCAACTTCTTGTGATCTAACAGTGGTTTTCCTATGAGCTGGCGCACAGGGTAAGCTCCCACTCTGTTTCACAACTCTCTATCAGAGCAGACCAAACAAACTTAGCCCATTGGTTGCATCTCTGAGCTTCCTCTCCCCTCTGGAACTACAGAAAGAAAATAATAAGAGGCACCTGGTGGCTCAGTCAGTTAAAGTAGCCCCTTCTGCTCAGGTCAAGATCCCAGTTTCCTGGGATCAAGCCACATCAGGCTCCCTCTCCCTCTTCCTGCTGCTCCCTCCACTTGTCTGCTCACTCAGTCGCTCCCTCCCTCCCTCTCTCTCTCTCTCATAAATAAAATCTTAAAAATTAAAGAAAAATAAAAGTCTAATAATAACCAACCCTGAGATTATATTTCCTAAATTAGCTTATCTTCTACTCGTATGTTTTGTAAATCATTAACATCCCTTAGTTAACATCGGTAATGACATACAAGACTTGTTATAATTTTTAACACTAACAAGACCATAAATAATGTAGATAATTCATTAACAAGGTAGCAATTAAATAAACTGTTATAATAAACCACTGCTTTAACTATCATGGTTAAATAGACCTTCATGGTCGGATGTAGAAAGATCTCTAAAACATGTTTCCACATGAAGAAAGCAAACTGCAGGGGACTCCATGTGTGTATTTATACGTATGTACATTTAATCCCATTTACGAGGGGAACTGTATATGTCTATCTTAAGATACATAAAAGTATACAAACAGGACTGGAGAGGTATTCCAAAATTTTTAACAGTGGCTACCAATAGCCAGAAAAGTGAGGGCAGAGAGGTGTGCATGAGACAGAATTTACATTCTGTCAATATACTTTATTATTTGAATTTTTAAAAAATAAGATATATTTACTTATTACAAGAACAATTAAAATTTTTAAAGCTAAACTAACTGGTAGCTATAATGTAAACAGTTCCAAATGTGGAGCCAGACACTATGCTGGGGCATCAAGGACATTATCGAAAATACTCAAGGAGATCACAGAGAGAAATACTGATTGGTTATGTCCCAAGTTCAGGCTGGAGAAACGGCGCTGCAGAATGGTTAGCGGTGCCTGAGGGGCAATCTGTCCCAGGTCTGTCCAGATCCAAGTAAGATGCTCTGTTCTTTACGGGACATCACACGGCTGAGGAGTGATGTGATTAACCAGGAGTCTCAAATTCATGTAAAAAGAAACTGTTATGACAGACTCTATTACAGGCACTAATATTTTCGTGCAAGACTTATCCTTTGCTTACATGTTTCTATACATAATTGAACTGAAAACTCCATCAGACCATATCGCTAAGCTGCTCTGCAGAGTAATGTGCTTCCCGTGGGCAAGCGGAGCGGAGCGGCGCCCAAGTGGGTGGAGAGGAGATCACCCCGTGATTACAGCCGACACAGAAGACAGCTGAAGCTCGTTTTAGGACAGAAGGCAGACCGAACAGTCCCGTGCTGCCGAGCAGCAGACCAACCACGACAAAGAAGGGAAGCAGCGCCCAACCCTCAACCTGCTTCTTTGCACAGGCACGGAGGGACCCTTCGGATGGGCCAGACACGTGGATATTACCTAGGACAGGTGGGGTATTTTCAAGGCCAAGAGATCCACTTCTGTAAAAACATTCCTGCTGTACTTACGAAGCTGGCCGGTCTTGTCTGAGGTCAATGGTGAAGACAACCGCATCTTCACCTGCAGATAGGAACGTACAGGGAGAGTCCGGTTCCAGGGCCAACTAAGGGACAAAAAGACAAAGGTTTCTTTTTCTTTTTTTTTTTTTTTTTTTTTTTTTAAAGGATTTTACCTATCTGACAGAGAGAGACACAGCGAGAGAGGGAACACAAGCAGGGGGAGTGGGAAGAGGGAGAAGCAGGCTTCCTGCCGAGCAGGGAGCCCGATGCGGGGCTCGATCCCAGGACCCTGGGATCATGACCTCAGCCAAAGGCAGATGATGGAGCCACCCAGGTGCCCTAAGACAAAGGTTTCTACAGATTAGAATTAGAAGCCATCTAGTTCATTCCTTTATCTTCAGGAAGGACTGCACTTTAAATGTCTCAGCAAGAGACATGTCTAGCTTTTTTGCTGTAAAACCCCAGGAAAGGAACTAATAAACCCATTCTCTCTTGTTCTATGTGAATTTGTTACAGCTTATTTATTCCAAACAAGTCAAAAGCACAGGAGTTTTGCTATTTCAACTAAGTCCCCAAGGGATCCGAATAGAGATACCAAAGAAAAACATTAACCATTAAGGTTCATTCTCAAAGAAAATCAATTAAACTCTCAGGTGGGGAGAGAAATGGTGCCCAAGTTTCATTCCTTACACCTTAGTTACAAAAATTAGTTAACTAACGGGTTGAAGGCAGGCTTAAGAATCAAGGAAACAGGTTAACTTCCATATTTTTCTGAGCCATTCGGTCTAGAAAAGGATATCCCACGTCCACCGACCTACTGCTTAGGGTTTGTGAGAGAGGGCCGCCATCCTTCTACAGCACGGCTGCTCTGAGACGAGCTCTCGGCTCCTCACTGGCCGCCCCACGGCTGTCTGTTCTATATTCCCAGTCCGAAACAGGGCGTCCATAAATAGTGCTGTCCCTGAGAGCTAAGAGAAGCGGGAGCTCTCACACATGAGGGGCCGGCCCCTAAGACCTTGGAGCTGTTAAAGTGTTCCAGATACAATCAAGGGAAATTTAAGAGGTTTGGAAGGCACAGGAGACCTCAAGGATTTCCAAACCAACCGCTGGTCAGCTTAGGGCCTAGGTATCATCGCCTGAGCGCTGTATGTGCAAGATCTAGAAAGCTTTCAAATACTTCACTTGCAAGAAGTTAAGGGTGGCTGCTTTTCATCCTTTTTTAATCTACAAATTTTAGGACAAAAGAAGTGAGGCAGGTGACCATAACAGAGAAGACACAACGGGCAGAGATCTGGGAAGGCCCCGGCTGAGATCCTTGGTGGAGGAGCGAGACCACACAACCATGGGGGCAAGAGCTCACTTACCTTGTGGGACGCTCCCTTGTGCTGGGCCACACGCTTTGTGTTCTTGCAACACTGCGTGGCAGACAGCTCTGCTACCCGCACCTGCCCATCGCGGGCACACATGGCCAGGGTGGAATCACCGCTGTTGGGAAGGAACTTGGCCTGGGTATTCATGAAAAAAGAGACATACAGAAGAAACTGAGGAGGTGAATTTGAGAGGGAGAAACTGTAATAACAAACATAACCCATCCTTTTGGTTGCACCACAGCTGGAAACTTAGCTCTCCTAGTCTTGTACCGTGGGCTCAAGTTCATTCTTCCCAGAGCGAAAGAAGAGGGAGGAAAACCTTCTGATGCGAGAGCATTTCAACGGACTCTGCAAGGCTGAACTGGTACAGGGTAAGTGCTCGGGTGAACTAGGACTATGCTTACTGGGGGAAAAACTTAAGAAAAGAAGAAGGAAAATCTATCTTGATTCAGAAAGCAAACAAATTTGCTACAAAGACAAAGGAAACCAGAGGAGATGCTGGGGAAGAGGTCATGCCGAGGAATCAGTGCTATAGGACCAACATGACGGGTAGGGCTGATGAGCAAACAGAGACTAGTAATGCTCACAAATACTCGTCAAAGGTTCCAACCAACCGAACCAAAGGATTCCACTAACCCCATGCCTGGTTCCAAACTGCTTAACTTCCATTGCTGTATTAACTGCCCTGGTCCTCTGTGTTATTAGTTCTACGCTACACACCGATAAACTGAAGCCGGAGATTAAAGAATCGGCCACAATCACAAAGCTAATAAGGGGCAGGGCCAGGAACCGAACCCAGTCTAGCTCTAGAGCCTTGCCCCAGGGCACACTGAGTGCCTTCCTGAGGACTTCCAAGCGTCCCACTGGTAAGGAGGCTTCTAACCACCACTGTGCTTAGGAAAGACAAAGGCTGTCGTGGGTCTCTGAGGACATTTGACGCCTCTGAGTCATCACGGGAGCCGCGGCAGGACTAGTCCTGATGCCTCCTTCTACCGCAGCTCCCCGTCAGCTCCCTCTGCAGCCTCTCAGGCTCGTCTAACTGCCGCCCGCCTTTATCAGCTGCCGTCCTGCTCCCTTGCCTCACCTGGAAGACGTTGCTCTTGTGGCCGCTCTCGAAGTCCAGTACCGGCTGCCGCCGCACCCAGTCCCAAACCACCACCTTCAGGTCATCGCTGCCACTGGCCAGCCAGGTGCCGCGTTGGTTAAAGTGCAGGGTGTTGACACAGCCAGTATGGCCCTCCAGCCCATGCTGCAGGCGGAAACGCTGCACGAAGACTCTCGCCCCACAAGCCTCATACACGAAGCGGGCGCTGGAGCCCAGCTCCCGCTCCCGCAGAGCAGGGAGGGCTTGCCAGCGAGGGCGCGGCAGGGCGGACGTCTCCGAAGACACCCAGTCCTCCAGGGCCCGCTCATCGTCTGACGAGTCCTGGTCCCGGCTGGCCCGCTTCCGCTGGACCCGGCGCCTAGGACGCTCCTCCTCCTCCTCCTCTTCCTCTTCTTCCTCTGATCGGTCATGGACCTGGTTTTCATCGTTGATGGAGTAATGGCCAGTGTCCTCCATGCTGTCGGAGTCCTTGTCTTCCCCCGAGCTCTCTGTATCTGTACCCCGACTTCCTGTGCTGGTGCGATTGGGGCCACCATCATCCCCGGTCAGGCTCAAGCTCAGGTCCGAGGCCTCCACTTCAATGCCTGAGGATGTCTCCCGGCCCTCCTCAGCGCCAGACATCTCCTCTGGACTGCTAGACAAGCTTCCTGCATGCCAGTGAGAAGAGGGGAGTGAGGGGGAAATAAGGAAATGGGATTGTGATCAGAAGGATGTCCCGCCTCAGTCTAAAAACCATCACCCAAAGGTCCGGACACCAACTTCGATTAAAGTGTTTCTGTTCATATGCTTACCAAGACTACCTTCTGAGTAAAGGACAAGAAACTGAAAAGATTAAGACCAAAGCCACACGCAAATAAAGGTACTTCAACACCAAGTGGAGAACTCCAGGATGGCCCGAGAGTGATCGATTCTCTCTCTCTTGCAAAGCATGGACAGGCTGTGCCCAAGTACCAACCACCTTAAGCTCTGTCCTGCTCAAGGCACATCCACCAGTCACACCGAATAACTCAACCACATGTAAGAGGAAAGAACATCCATGCCCAGCAAGAAATGATATAGACATCTTCTTAGAGAAAAACAGAAAATAACAGATGAAAATCATTCTGACAATGGGTGGGAGTTGAATCATTTCCTACTTCAAGAAAGCACCGCTCCTCCCCCCTCTCAAATCCTAATTTCTGCCCCTGAGGTCCTAAAATCCACTAACAACCAGAAGGAAGTAGCAGGGACAAGTGGAACTGTGATCATTAGGATGGGTTTTTGCTCACCTTTCACTAATAAACGTATTCTGACTTCCATTAACCTGACAACGCCAATGCTACTGCTAATTACAGGAACTCTTTATTGGGGTAGAGCTTTATCAAGACGCACACACAAAACTGATGAAAAGCAGGGCCACGAGAGCGGTATCTGAGAAGGGAAGCTCACCACATCCAGGCTGGCCATGTTGGTGGTTCTCCAAGAACTAGGTCGCTCTGGGCAATCTAAGCCCCAGCGATCAGACACCGCACTCGCCTACCTAACAGCAGCCAAATAGCATTCCCGCGAGTGCCCCGCTCCGCAGTGTGCTGGAGCCACGTGACCACAGCCTCCACGCTGAAGCCAAGGTAGAAGGAAGGAAGGCGGCTGAGGACTTTAAACACTGTTCACGGCCTCCTTTCCTGATGATTACGAACTTGACCTCGCCAGAAGAGAAGTTGTGAGGTACAGCAGAGCAGCTCCGTGCAATGCTGGTAGCAGCTACCCAACCCCACGAGGACACTGAAAGGATTCCAAGTAGCTCCTGACAGCTTAGTCACCAGGAGCAGAGCAAGAAGTTCCAAAGATCTCTGCAGCCATGGAACCCCTGCACGACAAACCCTCAGGCAAAACCCGCCACGGAAAACAGATGAACAATACAAGCGCGCTGGTTCAAACGGCGACAGAAGGTAGGGAGACTTGTAAACAGCTCTTTTCAGAAAGCACCTCAACTAAGATCCCAGCGTGGAAACTACGGGGGTAGGAACGGGAAGAGAAAGGGGGAAAGTGCAGCCATTTGCTCATCGGAGCTACACCTGCTGAGACAGCGCCGCGTGCTGAGAAAGCTCGGCAGATGTGGTCTCTCAGACACAACTGGCCTTGAAACTGCGAGTGCTGAGAAAGGGTAAAGCGCCACGCACTTCGATTCTGGGGAGAAGGAAAACAAAAACACCGAAACTCCTAGCATTTCTTGTTAAAATTGTGATGAACCAATCAAGACGGCCTGGGGGCTCCAGCACATTCACATAAAGGCCAGAGTACGTCACGAGCTCAGCAAGGGGACCCTCACAGCCAATGACCAAGATCCAGAGGTCAGCAAATTTCTTCTAGCAAGGGCCTTCACAGGCCACAGGGATCTCTGTCACTAGTACTCAAGTCCACTGCTGGAGCACAAAAGCGCCTGTAAGCACCATGTGAATGAGTGGGGCATGACTGCGTTCCAACAAACTTTACAAAAGCAGGGGCAGGCTGGATCTGGCCCGCAGGCCACAGTCGGCCAATCCCTGACCCAGCTGATGGTCAACTTCCAAATCAACTACATACCTCAAACCACGCTAGAACCCCGAGTCTCTCAACTAAGCCCAGTCAAAAATCTGATTCACTTTTCTTAACAGAAATGAATGAACAGCACTGGTAAGAAGAGAACACAGGTCAATAAACAGCACGTTGACAAATCTTACTTTCCCTTACTCAACTTCACTGCTCTACCAATCTCATCAACCAGAACTGAGCCTATAATCCTGACCAACGTGCTCAGAATGCCGAGTGCTGCGCCGCCCAATTATACCTGAAGGGCATTTCTCCGGTTCAGAAGGAGGCTCAGGGCTGAAGCATTAATCGAATAACCCATTATTAAAATCTTGATATTCTACCTTCAAACATGCCCTAGACCCAGTGAGTTCACACCTGGCCAGGCCCTACAAAGAACAGAGGCCAGCCCTCACACCAGTCGGTTTAGGCTGTAACTTCATCTCTCGTCCGCTGTCTCTACCGAACTAGGACCTGCCGCAGAAAGAGACCCCTCGTTACAGCTGGGGAACCTTACCCTCCCCCAGCTCCCTTCTTTCCACCACTAACTGATCTTTTCCTCCTAGGTTTCATCCACTCTTACCACCTTTCAGAATTCCAAACTACCTGAACTCCTCCTAATGGCACAGCTCTATTCCTGACCTTCTAGGAAACAGTCAGAGGTTGAAGCAACAAAAGTCCCGGAGAGTCCAGGGTGTCTCCTGTGTAGTTGTCTATACACACAACAACACAGGAAGAGTCCACGCCTAGGAAAGACTTCCTTCCCTCCACTAAAATCCCAGGTCTCCACTTCCTTCAGGGGAGGAGGAGAACCTCAGGTGGCCCCTTACCATTGGCTAAGTCTGTTTTGCCATCTGCGCTGCTCCCTTTGCTGGACATCTTGAATGATGTTTAGAGTGGCCAGCCTGCATTCAGGAGAGGAAGAGAATGGAACAATTAGGAAATAATCTAGGAGAGAAGATAAAAGGGACAAGACATTTAACCACGCACAGCCTTTGTCATTTTCATAAAAATGATTTTTTGAGGGGGCCTGGCTAGCTGTCAGTGGAGCGTGCAAGTCTTGGTCTCAGGGTTGTAAGTTCGAGCCCCACGTTGGGTGTAGAGACTCCTTTAAAAAAAGAGACAGTTTTGACTGTGTGCTCAACAGGGCTTGTCAGCTGCTGAAAATCATAGCCGATCCCCCTCCCCCATGTCTAAATTCCATACAGAGACATATCTTTGGGAGGTCATCTCTTTACCTGAGTAGCTGGCAGTGATTTCTGAGATGGGAAAGAAGGAACGGAGCTCAAACCTGCACCAGCAGGCATATACCCAGCGACAGGTACTACACACACAGAGGCTTAACACAAAGCTTCAGCCTTGTCCTCTAGGCAAGAATCTTCTGTTGTAAATTTAATCATATGTATCACCCATAAATTCTGTGAAAGACATGCCTTCGTTACATGAAGAGGTGGGCCAGACTCCAAATACCACCTTACACACGAATCAAGAGATGGGAGAGACCAAGCTATAGGGGTGAGAGCTCGGGCTCTGTGTTCACTCAGATGCCAAGCTCTGATCTTAGAGGCACAGACACTAAGGATTGTAAGAGGCAGAGCCAAATTAGAATTCAGGAGCACCCTTCCCCAAGAAAGAACCGAAAAGGTTTCTTTTTTCCTCTTACAACGAAGCCACCAAGTCCACAGCTGGGGAAGAAAAGGGCCACATTTCCATGAAACCATCTCAATCCATCTCAAAAGTGGCAAACGTTATTTCATCTAATTCCGCCAACTCTCACCAGACCTGTTTGGCGAAGGCCTGTCTGTGAATCGGGGTACCTAGCCTTTTTCCTTTCATACCACTGTAACACATTATTTTTATAGGGCCTCACTCCCACCTCGAGCAAATTCCAAAGAGCAAAGAATAATATTATTCAGGCCAGAATTTTGTTAAGCCCTTTCAGTGCCTGGACAAAAGGCACTGGTCAAAGACAAAGTATGATTATGACTCCGGTCCTCGTACCCAGGCACACTGGCTTCTAATCTTTCAACAGCCCTTTCATTCCCACAACAATTATCCCAGAAGCAGCCCCATCCCTATCCTGACCCCCTACTCTCCTCTACAGAAATCCAAGTTGCTTCAAAAAGTGTCCCCTGCCAAGAGACAGCTGCCCAAAGCTTGCTCCGCAGGCCAGCATGGGGGAGTAGAAGCAACGCATGGGTAGGACAGAGGCCGGGTCCCAGGCAGGCCCTGGAAGGGTGCTGGGAGACGACGCCAACAAAGCACAGATTTGTGAGGCCACGGCGAAAACACCAGCGCAGAGCGGCTTGCAGAGCAGGCTGTCTCCCTCCTCCTACTCCAAGGAGGTATTTCTGCACAGCATGCTTCACAGAGCACTGGCTCTTTCCTGCGGGGGGGGGGGGGGGGGGGGCGCAAAAGTCGCAAACGTTACCCCCCGCACCCCCTCCCCCCCCCCCGGGGGCG